AGGAAATCCCTTGATCAATTAAGATATCGGCCGTCATAAAACCTCATGAGATGAAAATATTATATTGCCTATCTTTCTTTATTGATAAGAATTATTAGTACATAATATTTGAGAGTGAGAGTATATTGAGTGATCAGTCTTAACCTGTTAGGATGTGTGTGTTTTTGTGTCATTGAGTGATCAGTCTTAAACTGTTAGGATGTGTGTGTTTTTGTGTCATTGAGTGATCAGTCTTAAACTGTTAGGATGTGTGTGTTTTTGTGTCATCTGATATGCTATTTATACAAATCATATTAGTTAACAAAGTATGCTAGAACTCCAGGATTATCATTGATCTTCTATTAAACGTTATTGACTCTTATTATGATTATCAAGTTGTGTTTGACTAGATATTGACTTGACTTAGGTCTTTTTCATTTATAGTTGCTCATGTAAAAAAGATAAATATTGATAATAATAATCATAAGCTTTTGGGGTGCTACTATATGTACCCCCTCCCCCCTCTCACTCACATAAATTGTCACATCATAAAGGGTACACGAGCACTATTACACTCACACTGGGGGTACACAAAGCAATTAGGGTATATATAGGATTTCCCTTGTTTGATAATACATATTTAAGATCCTAAGAAACTTTAAGATGCAAGATGCGAAAATGAGATTTTAAAAATCAAAATTAAACTGATAAATCATGATGGGACACTGCTATCATGAAACATCAACGTTTTTGATGATGTAGTTATCCTTTTGAGGCAATATAAATAAGGTTTAATCCTTGTCATTTCATAAACTTTATCTTCAAATAAATCCTAAGGCGTCAAGAGTGATAGTGTTCAAGTATATTTTATATTCGTGTCTTCGCTTAATCTTTAACTTCATCGATTATGGATACTTTGTGGATCAATTCCTTCTTGTAAACCAAACGATGAGAGTTGTTCTTTTTCTGAGCAACAAATCGATTTGTTAAGATCGAAGCATGGATTTCTTATTGGTACCGTTTTCGACCTTCTGATTCAAGGATTAGGCTAGACTTCGTTTCTCATGCATGAATTTGCTTTCATGAGTTTCCTTTTACCCTTGGTCTTAAGTTTCCTTTACCTAAGTTGATTTATGAGTTTTTCGAAGTCATTATGCTCACGTATGTCCAATACGTTAGATCTATACGCTCAATAATCATTTTAGAGTGATGTTTGCCAATAACATATGATCCTATAAGGTAACACCTTTAGCAAGTAGACAGTTATTGAGTATTTATATAAATAAGATTATTAATAAATATATCCAACTCTTATATGTAATTAGGAAATAATTATTATTTATTGAAAGAATATTTTCTAAGAAAGAATAACAACTAGTAACTTATAATGTATGATTTATATGTTGTGTACATCTTTTTGGACCTATTGTACTCCATTTATTTAAAGTTAGTTTATATAAATAAAAGGTGCATATGCTAGTGTATTATAAGGAATGGAAGACCACCATGATTTGACCTTCTGAGGTCAAAGTTGTAGCTTTCTAGTAAATAAGAGAGGTTGCTTGTGAAATAACTTCTTACACATCCAAAACTCTTCCCTTTGTCCCATGCTTTCATTTATAAGGGTTGCAGCTTACTACTTGCATGCAAGGTTGTAAAAAACACTGAAGTTAGATAGTTGGTGGACTGAGGTTAAGTGATTAATCGTTTAGGAAATGATTAATCGGAGACCTTAAATTGCTATTTCATTGAATTTTAAAAAATTAAAGATGACTAATATCATAACAAAGTTCGTAAATACCACTAATATCATAAACAAAAATAGGTTAATATGATTAATACGACACTAATAATTCATCAACTAGTTTCTCTCATTTTGTAGGTAGGGATTAATAGCTAGACGCCTTCCAGTTTGTCGTGTAACGCCTAGGGATTAATCAGAGATTAATCGGGACCTAGTTTGGATTTTCACAACACTGCTTGCATGTAAGTATAAAATGAGACCCACGGCTTCCATTTTGGAGTGAGTTTTTAGGTGAACTCTTTATCTCTTTCATAAGAAAGCCAGAACTTTCTTTCCTTTCTCCTCCTTTTTGTATTTTTGAAGCTAAGTGAAGATATCGTGCTTGGAAGTGCTTCTCCTTTAGTGTTTATTTGTGATAAGCACTTAAAGGCTTGCTAAGAACTACATACAAGAGAGAGAACTAACATTCTTGGTAGCTTACTCTTATTGGTGGATACATTATATAGAAACTCTATTCTTGAGTTTTTGTCATCTTTATCAACTCCTTAAACCTAAGAGGGATCAAAGTCTTCAAAGGGATTATTTCTAAACATACTATGGTTTTCATAATATTTCTAGTTCATGTATTTGAATCCCCTTGGTGGTTTTGTTAAAATGATTATAAAAATAAACTAGTTATTTTAAAGTCTTTCATTTTCCGTTTAATTTGTTTTATAAAAATATGTTTTTAGCTTCTCAAAACCTATCAAATGTATCAAAGACTCTTTTACATGTTTACAAAGATTTCTTTTAAATGTTTGACAACCTTTGGTTTTGGTAAATATGATTGGTATTTCTTTTGGCAAAGAAATCACTAAATATATTTTCTTTGGCAAGTGGTAGTTTATATAATTAGTTGTTTTTATGAAACCGGTTTTTTTATTCATTTGATTGTATAAAGTGTCTTATAAAAATAACGTGTTTTTTTGTATATTTCATATGATGTTTGTTGTGTATAAACAAACTATTAGGACCATTGTGTTGTGTTGGTTGATTATTTATTTATTAATACGATGTAATAGATAAATATGTACTTTCTCATGTAACATCCCAAAAATCAACCCTAAAAAATTTTAAAATCAAAATGTAGGTTTTAACAAAAGGTTTTATTCATAATCATTAATAAATCATTAAAATCATCTTTTTACGTTACATCAACATAGTCATAGTAAAAATGCAGAAGTTAGGTCCTGTTTTGAAAATAATATTGTAACATAAACTAGATAAACTAAATGACATGCACCTCCGAGAATGTCTAGATATCTCAATCATGTCTGCTCCTCGCCCTCCGAACTAGAAGGACATGCGTCTAAAAATATAAAGTAACAATTGTAAATCTAAGACTTAGTGAGTAATCACAACACTTAATCATTATATAAATGATAAGCAAACATACACATAACATCTAACTGATCACATAAACTTATAATTGAACACATATAAATTTGAGCATATATAACCAAACATATATAACTAACACATAAAGCTATTAGCATGCTAACATAGCTAACCACGATCACTAGATTCCCTCTGGCAGTTTATCTGTAACTGACATGGTATTAACCACTTCCTTCTGATCGGTCTATCATTGTCTTGACCACTTCCCTTAGAGAGGTCTGTCACGATCATGAATCCACTAGATTCCCTCTAACAGGTCTATCTCTAGTCTGACCAACATATAACAAATAATCTACATAGTAAGTAAGTCCGTAAGAACTCACCTGAAGTAGCAAACACACAAACAAACCACTGAAAATGGCTAAAATAGATTTTCAACTCTCTAAACACCTAACAACCATAATAATAATCTATACTTAGTTCATATTTTAAGACTTACTTATTAATGCTTGATAATGAACTTTTTATTCACTTCTACTATTGTTATAGCGGTTGGTTCGTGAGCCGATCTACCCTTTTTATCCACTCGACTCATTCTCACAACAATCAAAATAATCATATTTTGATTTATCTCACATTTAAATGCTAACCCGTTATTATTTTCTTATGAAACGGCCCTTTTAGAGTTGATTACATGATTTATTATTTGATGCATTTAGATATTATTAACCTACAATACATCAAATAATCGATTTTAAATTTATGAAATATACTCATACAATGCTCATCTTAAAATACTAAACACATTAATTATACATTTTATGAAAATGTATGACGTAGTTACATCATATGGCTCTTATGTTAATTTTATTTTAACTATTAAATACGTGTATTACAAGTTTAACCATCTAAAGTATTATACACATGCATTTTACATAAAAACGTGTCATGTTTGCACTTTTTGTTCATAATGTTATGTAGTTCTTTCGTAAATACTATATATAAATCGAAAAATTATGGTGCTCCTCAATTGATGCACATTGGGTTATCCGTTAGACGACACTACAAGGTTGGATTTTAGGACATGTGTGTTGAACATATTGTAAGATTAAGTTGTAGAGATCTACGAAGCAACATATCAAAAATATGTTCATTCATGTGTTCATGTATGCAACACAATATCTTTAAAGCAATTCGCTCACTACTAAACATTTGTTTTGTTGACGGGACATAATAGCTACTACGATGCTCGAAGACATCCACACAATTAATAATCGAAATATTAGTCACTGACATTTGATTATTGTTACACCCTATTTTTGGTGATATTCACCAACATAAAAAAATAAAAATATTAAAGATGAAATGATTAAATATCATTGAAGGACTGTAGCAACATAATCAAGAATATGTAGATGAAAAGTGAAGGTCGATGAATAATGATGGGCCATTTATGTAAATTTACTCAAAGTCAAGGATTGTAGCAAGAACGAACTTCTCGTTATGGCAAATCCAAGAAAACATAACGCATCCATGGCGAGAGATTTTTTAGGAAATCAAAACGGGATTCGTATCGTCTTCAGAAAATTCTGGTGGGTGTGATCTCGCTGCCTTTTCAAATTTTGGGGTTCATGTCATTGTTGATCAAACACCAATGATTTATACAAAGCGAATATGGATTTCACATTTCATCACTCAAACGTAATCCATTTTCTGAAACCCCCCAAATTAACCTCTCCACTAAATTTCATCATCTTGAATCTGTCCTATTAACGAATTTCCCACATTCGCAATCCATGCGACGTGTATAATTGATCAAGTCTATGTTTTTGCTGTTTGATAAAAGGTCTCAAAGAAAAAGGGTAAAAGCTAGGAGGAACTAGGGATGCGGGCTTCTGTAATGGCCAGAAGACCGGCAACTTGGACATTTTCCGGCATTGTTGTCGCCGTTCTGTTGCAGGGAGTGGTTGTTCTGTGTAAGGCTCCGGCGACTCTTAAACTGGAAAGAGCTTTTCCGCACAATCAACGGATGGAATTGAGCAAACTTAGAGATAGAGATAATCTAAGGCACAGTAGATTCTTGAAGCAGCAATTATCGTCTTCTACAAAAGATGTTATTGACTTCCCACTTCAGGGCACTTTTGATCCTTATCGTGTTGGGTATTTCCTTAATCTATTTCTTCTTAATACATCCTCTCGATTGTGATATACTATGTTTCTTCATTTAATTAGTTTGATTTCTTTTGTATACAATCTTAAATTGAATGAATTTCGTGCCCAATTTTTTTCAAAATTTCTCCACATTTTCGTAATTTTTTTTTTATCTCCTCTACTCATAAGAAAATGCAATTTTTTTCCTTTAATATTTAGGTGCCTCAATTCCGCGTCTTTATAGAAAATGCAATTTTTTTCCTCGTTTTCATTGGAAAGACGACCAGTTAAGGGTGGGAGGGAAATGGGTCGGGTTGGGTTGATTTGTATAATTAAGCGGATTGAGATTTTCAACCCAACCCAACTTGTTTAAAATGAGACTTAACCCAACTTCTTAGATGAACGGTTCAACCCGTGTTTGACCTTAGCTTACTTTTTTTTTTCTCAAACCAATTTGTTATATGATAAACGGTTGGACCTTGGTTGACCTATTTAAATTTCAAAGTTTAAGTAGGATAAAAAATGTTTACAACAACATTCATCGAGTCCCATACAAATGAGGTAAGAGGGAGGTAGGATGGTCGACAACCCCTCCATAGGGTTGAGAGACATGTTCTGTAGAAGCCTTTGGCAAAAAAGAAAATAAAAATGCAAATACAAATAAATATGTAAAAGAAAAGTTTCGTAATCATGCCCACATCAAAGATATCCTTTCATAAGATCTTTGCATATAAAACGTCAACTGCTATTGAGTGATAAAATGGTATGTCCGTATAAAGAGACCGAAAACAAAAAAGAAATTACACACATAAAGAGGAGCAAGGATGAACAAGTAAAACATGAATAAATATGCTAGTAATGGATCCATATATAAGGAGTAACTAGAAAGAATATACTAGTTACACATGAATACATGATGTAATTAAATAGAAAAACAAGAGTAAGAAAGTGAGAATTGGCCGACAAGAACTAACAATGAAGAGGGAGCTAGACCCTAGACTATGCTAATACTATTTTGGTACCTTAATTCTAAGTCTCCACACTCCACACTCTACTATCTGAGCTCATGTCCTTGGTAAGGGCTAACTCCTTCAAGTCTAACCTCATGCTATCTTCCCACTTCCATATCGACCAACCACTCCTCCTCACACCCTCAACTGTAATGGACTCCACACTTTTAACAACAACAACCGATTGTCTCCTATAGACATGACCACATCACCATAATCTTCAGTCTCTCAATTTCTCGATAATCGATGCCACACCCAACGAATTCCTAATTGACGTGTACGACAATGTTATACCATCTTCCTCACTTCTGCCACCTCCATTTTTCTCTCATATTCCTTTTTAATTGGCCAACACATTCGAATCCATACAACAAAGCTCATCTTCTTGCCATCCTACAATGTTTTCCCTTTACTTTCAGCGGCACCTTCTTGTCATACAAAACTCGTGTCATTGCCCTCCACTTTAACCATCCCACATTTATGCAGTGTGTAACGTTATCCTCAACATCATTTTCCTTATGGATCATAGTATGAAAAATGTTTAAACCTAGTTAAATTAGTTAAAAACCCAGTAATTGTTTAAAGTTAAAAAACACAACTACAGATTAACTTTCCAAAGTTTTAAGACTTTAGGATTTTGTTTTTGTATTTTTCTAGGTTATAAGATTAAATAAAAATAAAATATATATTTAGATGGGTTGGCGGCTTGGCATCAGATCGGAAAGTTCAACCCTAGCACAACCTATTAAATAAAACGGGTTGATCGGGTTGACCCGTTAGATCAAAATTTTCCATCTCAAATTAAGGGACCACAGTTTTGTTGTTTGATATGTCAGTTTCTTTATTTTGAAGATATTTTTTTTTTTGTATATGTAGGCTTTATTATACAAAAGTGCAATTGGGTTCACCTCCAAAGGAATACTATGTACAAGTGGACACGGGAAGTGATGTGTTGTGGGTCAGTTGTAAAGACTGTAAAGGTTGCCCTACATCTAGTGGACTCAAAGTATTACTTACTCAAGTTCTCATTTGTAAAAAGATTCATTGACTTTGACTTTTGAATAACTAACTGTGACACTATTCTTTCCTTCCATACTGAAACAGGTTCCAATTGAGTTTTATGATCATGAAAGCTCGAAAACATCTTCTTTGGTCAAATGTTCAGATGATATGTGTCTTGTAGGAATGAAATTTGGTGATGCAGATTGTTCACATACAAGCACTCGTTGTATTTACAAATTTAAATATGGAGATGGAAGTGCAACATCGGGTTATTATGCGTCTGATTTAATTCATTTAGAAATGATGTCAGATGAGTCAAACCCTTCATCAAATGCTTCATCCAAAGTGATATTCGGGTGAGCAGCTAATGACTTGTTTACAATGATGCTTGTTGATCTAAGGTAGTGTTTGGTATCCTGGAATCGAAGAGGGAATGGAATTAAACGTTGCACTGGAATGAAAATTCATGTTTGTTTACAACAACAAAAAAAATGGAATGTGACATTTCTCATAGAAAGTGATTCCTTTCTCCTTGGGTGATTTTGGAGAAGGTTTTTTATCAGCATTATTATTATTTTTACATTCTTTGATGGAATGGAAACTCTAACTAAATTATTTTTTTTGTTTTTTTTCCAAAGTTAACAAAAAAATTTTTTTTTGTCAGAATTCTATTTTTAGATTTCGTGGTATTTAATTTTTTATTTTTATAAAAAAATTTCTTTAAGTGGATTTGTTTACTATTTCAAATACATATAGCATATATTCAAACAATATAAAATATTTTTATATGCAATATATCTAGCAACACATCTCTATTTCATTAAAGCGATTTTTCAAAAACAACATATTTTCTTTATTTATTAATTTAAATTCATTTAGTTTTCTAATTATATGTAATAAACATGTCAAACATAACTCATTCCATTCCCTTAACTCTTTAAGTCAATCAAGCATGGTGATGGAAGGTAAAGATGCATTCTATTACCTTGTTCTTTCAATTACATTGTTCTTTCAAATCTTTTATGATTCTATTCCATCATATCAAACAAACCCTAACATATTTATAGAACAGTTGTAGCACATCTCAATCTGGGGAGTTATCCGAACCCGAGAGAGCGGTCAACGGGATCTTTGGTTTTGGTCAACAGGGTTTATCCGTAATTTCACAACTTGCTTCAAAAGGGGCAGCTCCAGATGCATTCTCTCATTGCCTTAATGGTGGTGGTGATGGTGGTGGCATTCTAGTTCTTGGTCAAATAATGAATCCAAAAATGGTCTATTCACCACTCATTCCATCACAGTAAGTTTTCTTTCACTCAAAATAAATTTTAGGGTTCCTCAAAATATTACTTCTTTGATCATTTTTTTTGTGCATGTAGGCCACATTATAATCTACATATGACTAGTATTTCAGTCAATGACAAAACATTGCCAATTGATCCATCAGCTTTTGAAATATCAAAACACCGAAAAGGAACCATAATTGATTCTGGAACAACACTTGGATACCTAACAGAAGAGGCCTACAATCCTTTTGTGGATGCTGTAAGTATGAAAAGGGCAAATATGTCATAAACTTTATGTTGCTGATCTTGATGACTAATGAGTTTGCATAATGTTTAGATTACAAAGTTTGTTCCTCAATCTGTAAAAGCTTTTGATGCAAAGGGATACCAGTGTTATCTAACTAACGATAGGTTTTTTTTTCATCTTGAAACTTCATAGCTCTTTAATGAATTTAGTATTTCCATTTAATCATATTTTAATTTCATTTCAGTGTCTCTGAGATCTTTCCGACTGTGAGCTTAAATTTTGAGGGTGATGCTTCCATGAATTTAAAACCAGATAATTACCTTTTGGAACAAAACACTGTGGTATTTCCATGCTAAATATTATCATAAGTTATTTTTTTTAAAATTTTAAAATGAGGGAATATACAAACAAGAATTAAATATGTTTAGGATGGTGGATTGGCATGGTGTATAGGGTTTCAGAAGGTTAAGGGTCAAGGACTTACGATTTTAGGAGGTATAACTTACAAGCAGTGACATATGAAGATTTTATCTAAATTTAATTTTTTTATATTCTTGATTACCTTTTTAATTATATGTTCTTATTTCATGCAGACATTGTTTTGAAAGACAAGGCTATTGTTTATGACTTGGGCGCTCAACGAATTGGATGGGTAGACCACGATTGTAAGTCCTTTAACATAAAATTCTTGATTGATTGAAGATGAAAATAGAAAAACTAGTTCTCTAATTTTGATTAGTTAGAAGAGTAGGATTTTACATTTGTTATTCCAACTATACATGATTGACATAATTAGTCCTTAAACTACACATTATGCACTATACATATTAACAAACAAAAAAGATTGTAATATTTTGAATCTTGTTATCAGGTAGAACACCTGTTAACGTGTCTGCTACATCAAGTGGTCGCAGAAGAATCTCAAGTAGCAGCAGTTCACTGCAGCACAAACCTTATCAACTGACCCTCATCATGATTCTTGCTTACATGCTACATTTATTGGTATTTGATTGTTTCTCATCGTAACATCTTAGTTTTCTAGAAGTAAATATTTTTGTTTGTGTGATATATATTATATAGTATTAATCATCACACACACATGGCACCTTTTATTTATTTATTGGTAGGTATGTCAATTTTCGATCTTAGTGAGCTAGGAAATAACAGACTAACAAATTCATGTACAAAATTTTTGTTGTATATGTGACACAAGTATATATAAGTTACACATAGTTCATTGTAAAGTTTTATAACAGCAATTCCCTTTCATTGTATAATCTTTCTAAACGAATATAATTGATTGAAATTATCAGACTACCACCGGTAGTACTACATGATACATCATCTAAAAATCAAATTTTATAGGTGACATATGTGCTTATCAACAACATTCATGGATGATGTTATACATAACATAAGTACATGGTAGATACACAAGAAATCACCGTGCATATGATTATTCTGTCTATGGTTGCCTCTTTTGCACAACAGTTAAGATAACACATGGCATGTAGTACAATTGTTGATTTATTTTCCCAATCTCTCGTTGTTTAAGGATGATCAAACCAAAACCCAAATTGTATTTATGTTTAACAATTCATTGTATTTTGTAAATTTCTTGCAATGCTGATCAAAGAGAAGAGAAATCTCCATCCATTCCTACTTAGAAGACTCGTAAAAAAGATGGTGATAACATAAGTCTTGCATTCAATTGAAAATTGTGTTGTACATGTTTGAAGAAGTCATAAAGTTGTGATCAAAAGTGTTGCTGAATCTGCAAATTATTGCAAAAACTTTGCAACGAAGTACATCATAAATTTTGTAAATAATATCTTACTATATGTTGTTGTAATATCTAATTGGAATTTTTTTACTGAATATTTTATCTTATAAATTTTTTAAGGTTTTAAAAATATGTGTTTTCATAAAAATTAAGAAGTGAATCTTTTTTTTATGTCTAAATCAAGAAAAAAAGTTAAGGGTTTGCTCGTTACCTTATATGACAGTTTTAGGAAAAAAAAAATTTCTTAAAAAAAGTTTCTCCAACCCAATCAACTATGGAACATGTATGGTCACGGAATGACAAAAGCAAAACCAGATAGTTCCCTCATTGTGGTACCTTTTTTTTGAAACGGCAAACTATTCTAGTCCTAATCTAATTCTAAACACCACCTATGTCTCCTAATAAGACTTGAACCTATGACCTCTCATTTGAGAGAGTCACTCCTTACCGCTAGGCCAAAGGCCCTTTGGTAAATATTGTGGTACCCCATTGGGTGGATTGTTGGTACCCTTCTAGGAAATAGAAAACAAGGTAGTTCCTGAAGCTCTTCCTCGGGATAGGATAGATCCCTACCTTCGTGCAATATTCGATATCACCTAAAAGGTTGCACACCACAGAGCTGGAGAGTCGTAAACCATGCTAGGTATCCAAAAAATAATTCATCGATGTATGACTGTTGTATAAGGTCAAAGTCCATATACACAAGTCAAACACACCCAAAAACCAATGGGTATGTTGAAATATTACAATGTACATGCACAATTTGTTGGTGATTTTAGTGTCACCATGTCATTTTATTTATGTAACTGGAACTAACATGTGAGCTAAGGGGCTTCTTAATTTGTACTCTAAAATATGTACGGGTTGGTGCGGAGTGCATGCATGTATAAGATCGAATTAGAAGCCGGTTCGACGTCAAGTCGGGGGTCTGGGGGCAGCGCCCCTGGGTCCGGGGTTTCCAAAGGGGTTGCGCCCCTTTGGCGGGGACTAGGGGCAGAGCCCCTAGCTGGGGTTGAGGGGCAGCGCCCCAAAACCTCACCGAATTTTACATATGGGAACATAGGTGGAAAATTCAGATTCTTGAGGGTGATTATGGTAAAACTAACGAAACTCGTTAGTTTTGGTAACCCTAAATCCTCATTAATCCGGATTACCCTGACTTGCTTACAAAGCAACTAATGACGGCCCAACCCTAATGAAACCCTAATTTCGTTTATTATAAAAACGACACTTCCTGTTGTGAAGTGAGATACGAACTTTAGCTCTCGTTTTCTTCAAACTTTCACAGAATCCTTCTAGCAATTTGGCTTAGAATTTCTGTACCTAGTATCGTAAGTGTTCACTTGGATTATCCTAGGTTGACTTTCTTGCAACCCAGGCATAAGGTAGAAATATCAGTTCGGAAAGTGCTCTCACGATCCAAGTTGGTATTCAGATCTCCACCACAAACCCTATATTATTTAACACAATTCAGGGGGGAAGGGGGGAATCAGAATTTGGATATTATATTATTAGTAGTATAAATTTATGTAATTATTTTTTTGAACGAAAAATCCAATCTACATATAAACTATTCTGAATTCCGCTTTATGTCCCAGAGGGAACTTAAACCTTCGACCTCAACACCTAATCGCTGGGCTAGAAGCTATTTGGTATTTATGTAATATATATTCATACATATTAAGTCAACATCACACCAAGGTGGGTAAGTTGTCCGACCAATAAATTTTTCTCTGATCCAAAGCGTAGGGTACTGAAAAACTGGTCGGTACAGTCATCCATTAAACATTACATGTACTACACTTGATAAACAATGGCACCCATATCATAATATGTAGACAATGGACATAAACATTAACACATTCAGTAACATAATAATGTGTTAAGTGTTAACACATATAAAGAGTTAGAAAATCTTTAACCAAAAATATCCATGCTCGTAGTTCCCAAAAGTGGAATCCTAAAAAGGCATTGTCGCCTGCTCATGAAAAAATGGTGGCCGAACTAGTACTTGTCTATTCCTAACGATATATATGACGATAATGACATCGTTAAGGGAATCACCCATGCTATGGGGATGTAGGCATGAAGGACCCATGATTTTCATTTGGGTCTAAAGGCATCATGAGGATATGTGTGTCTTCCATCAAGGAGTTCAATGCTATGATAATGGGTTCTTCAACATGGGCATATCAACCTTTATGGACTATTTGTCAACCTAAATTTAACTTATAGGTTAGTCATTATCAACAGAGCAATGATGATATAAATTGTAACGTCCCAAAAATAAGACCCAAAAGTTCCATTTTTAATTTAATAAAATCAGTATTCCAAAAACATCATCATTGCAATCCCAATAAAACAAGTGTACCAATCATCCCGAACTCTTCCCACTGAAACCAGAAGTACGTGAAACAAATGAAAACCGTACGTACAAAGCTTAGTGAGTTCCCCAAGATACCACATACCATACATATCGTACATATAACGGGCCCCTCCCACTAAGTATAACGAGCCCTGCCCAAACTCATATAACGGGCACCGCCCACTGAATACAATGGGCCCCGCCCACTGAGTATAACAGGCCCCACCCAAACTCATATAACGGGCCCCGCCCACTGAGTATAACAGGCCCCACCCAAACTCATATAACGGGCCCCGCCTACTAAACATATAACAATATAATCATATAATCATTCAAACACATGCAAAAATCACAAAGATAATAGCATACCCTAAAATCATCGGGCCCCGCCCACATACAAATCATATATGCATAACCAGATACTAGCATACATAATAACCATTGGGCCCTGCCCAGTAAGCATACAAGCACATACATATGCAAGAATCATGTAGACATCTAGCACCCTACATAGCAAACCATGGGACGACATTGGTGCCTTCAACCCGCTAAACATAGTGAGAAAACTCACCTCGAATTGTTGAACCATACTGATAAATCCATGGTTGCTGGTCCGACAAATCCCAAGTTATCAACATCAAATAACATCCAATTAATACTTGGATTCCAATCCATAACTATCATCCCACAATTAGGGTAAAGAGACCATTTTACCCCTTATCTAGCTTGGTCCAAAACTAAGGCCCAAACCTACTATCCAAAAGGCCCAAAAACCAATTTATCATACAAGGCCCAATCATGGCCCAATTTTCCAAATTAGGCCCAATTCCCTTCCATGGCCTTAACCCAACGCCCAATAATGTTCCCAGACTAAAATAACACTTGAAATCAGTCGGCCCAACAAAGCCCTAAACATCTAGGTCCACAAGAATGGCCCAAACCAAAGCCCAAACGATCTGAGGTCCACTCTGTTGAGTATGCGGGGCGTACTCATCTTGTGCATGTAGCGTACTTACCTTAGGGCTTGTACGCTAAGTGTACCTGCTTGTACGCCCAACATACCCTCGCATATAACCAACTTCCATTTTAAGCTTTTATTCCATAATGACTTTACACCACAACCTAGACCTGGCTTCCTTGGACTGATTTACCATGTAAAGTTACTAACTTTACGTTCATGCATGGCTAAAAGAAGCTCTTAAGCTTTAAAAGGACTGAATATGTGACTTAATGCATGCATGAGACCCAATACCTCATAAAGTTGGCACCTTTATGCATAAGGAAGTCTCAATAAGCTCATATCCAAAAGAAATTGTCCTTAAAATGTCTTAACTCAACAACCAACCTAAAAGGGACCAAAAACATAACAAATCAAGCCATAAAGAGATCTAAACATCTACAAGCCAAGGTATGAACTTGATACCTCCAAAGTCTTGCAAAAAGGACGATGATTCTGGATCTATGAACTCCTCATCAAACAAATGTAACGCCCGTGTTTCTAGCTAAGCATTAGTATGATGATGTAATAGTTAGGGTAAACAATTGTAACCTATTTTGAAGTAATAAAGAAGAATTATTTGAGTATTATGTGATTTTATGTGCATTATATTTATTTATAATAACGTAATAAAATAGTAATAAAAATAAGCGTAAAAAACAAACTAATAGATAGATCCAATATCTATGAAGAAAGTTGAAGTAGTCGTAACAAGGATTTCGAGGATATAAGGAACGCTGAAATCCGACATATAACGAAGAAGTTATGACCTGTCGAAGTTTAGCGGCAAAACCGGCAAGACACCGGGAATCGTAAAAAGTGAATTTACGATAAAATGCTTTTTAGCCTTAATAATATAAATGAAAGTCGTTGTATACGTT